AACCAGTATAGCAGTAGTGATTCCTGAATTAAAGATTAATATTTCAAAAAGAACATCTAATTATTTGAGAATATATGCAGTAGAATTGTGTGCTATATTATTAGCTTTAGAATGGGTGGAGGATACTAATATAAATAAAATAATAGTTTGTAGTGATTCATTATCTGCATTGTTGAGTATTGGAAAGGGACATACAAATAATCATCAAAATATATGAGATTATGGCTGTTCATCATAGGATATGTGAACAAAATAAAAATGTAATATTATTCTGGACTCCTGCTCATGTAGGTATTTTGGGTAATGAAAGAGCAGATAGGTTGGCAAAGGAGGCTATTAAAAAGAAAATATTGATATGCCAGTAAAGTTATCTAAATCTGAAGACAAAAGTATAGTTTGGAGAGAAAGCAAGAAGATATGGAAAATTAGGTGGGATAATGAAATAAATGGAAGACATTTGTATAGGATACAAAATACCGGCGACACATCCAAATTTGCAGTACCGTAATTTCGCCACACGTAGCGCTATCTGAAAAATTCCAACGGTTTCTGAAAGGGGAGACGTTGCACTTTCCAGCAAGAATCGGGTTAATACGGCAACTTCACAGTTGCAGCTGCAGAGAGCGTAATTAATCCGGGGGGCACTCGTTTAATAGACGGTATATTTCGAAAATAACTTGCTGGATATTGAAAGTTCCAGTTGTTATCGATACATGGGTCATGTCATCTCACAGGACATTTAAAGAACTACTTACAATTAAAATAAGGAAGGTTTATTTAGGCAGACGCTTGAAACTCCGGCGTAAAAGGGGGAAAAGAAGATTTTTTGCTTTTAAAAATACTGGGATCTTTTTGAGAATTTGAGGTATAGATACTAGGATCCACTAATGTCAATAGATGACAGTAAAATCTTCTTCAGGTTTTTAACGGCAGCTTGAATCCATTATTGTTGCACTACTGTCAATAGATGACAGTTAAAAACCTGAAGATTTTTTATTTTTATTTTTCAACAAAACATTTATTTACAATAATTCGAACGATAAACTGTTACACAATCAGGATAAAGAACTAAAAAAAAAACAAATATTTACATCAGCAGCTATATATATATATATATA